GTCAGGGTGCAGGGTAAGAAACCTTTCTGTGTTCCAGCTGGTAGTCTCTGTTACGTGCCAGTGACCTGCCCACAAATTCCTTTACACCAACCAATTGATTTGGTTGTTGAACCTCTTGGTCCTGAAGGGGGCAGTCTCCCAGAGGGGTTGTTGGTTTCACCTTCTTTAGTGAAGGCCGAGAGGGGGAGTACTTTCATTCCCATTACAAATGTAGGGAAAACTGACGTGTGGTTAACACCCCGTAGAGTTGCGGCTACTGTTCAAACTGCCACACTGGTGACAGAGGATCCTAAGATTCAGCTGTCAGTTGACTCACATAGCTGTACAGCATTCATTGCTGGTCATGAAACTACCGTAGCTGACATAGGCTTGGACTTACCAGAGTTCGAAAATCTGCAGGGTAAGGAAAAACAGCAGGCAAAGGAATTGCTGTTAAAATACAATAAAGTGTTTGCCAGAAGTGAGCTGGATGTGGGTAGTACAAATTTAGTAACCCATGAGATCCCCCTGCTGGATGAGACACCAGTGCGACAACCTTATCGGCGCATTCTCCCTTCTCAGTATGATTTGGTTCGCAATCATATCCAGCAGTTACTACAAAGTCGTGTTATTAGGGAAAGCAGTAGTCCATATGCTTCACCAATAGTTTTGGTGCAGAAGAAGGATGGAACGTTACGCATGTGTGTGGATTATAAGCAGTTAAACTCTAAAACCAGGAAGGATGCATTCCCTTTACCCAGAATTGATGAGTCTTTGGATGCTTTGGCAGGGGCAAAGTGGTTTACAACATTAGATTTGGCAAGTGGGTACAGCCAGGTTGAGATGGCTGAGAAGGACAAGGAAAAAACAGCTTTTTGCACTCCATTTGGTTTATTTGAGTTTAATCGTATGCCTTTCGGATTGTGTAACGCACCCAGTACTTTTCAGCGCCTTATGGAGCGTCTGTTTGGGGATTGCCGGTACCAGTCACTGCTGTTGTATTTAGATGATGTAATCATCTTTTCATCATCTGTTGAACAACATTTGGAGAGATTGGATCAGGTATTTTCCAGGCTAGACGCCCAGGGGCTAAAGGTCAAGTTGTCAAAATGTCATTTTTTTCAGAAGAAAGTTAAATATTTGGGTCACGTGGTATCAGAAGAGGGTGTTTCTACTGACCCAGACAAGGTAGCTGCCGTACGTGACTGGAGCCGACCTAGTACTCTGGCAGAACTTCATTCGTTTTTGGGGTTTGCCAGTTACTATCGGAGGTTTATTTGTGGTTTTTCAAGAATGGCTTTCTCTTTAAACCGACTCGTTGCTAGGTTGCTTCCTCCTGGGAAAAAGGGCAAAACTCCTAAGAAACCTTTGGGTGGCTTCTGGGATGAGGAGTGTGAGCAGAGTTTTCACAAGCTCAAAGCTGCATTAATAACAGCTCCTGTTCTTGCTTATGCAGACTTCCAGAAGCCATTTGCTCTAGAAGTAGATGCCAGTCATGCAGGGTTGGGAGCGGTACTCTCTCAAGATCATGGGGGCAAATTGCGCCCTATAGCGTTTGCAAGTCGCAGTCTGAAGCCCACCGAGCGTAACATGAATAATTACAGTTCTATGAAGTTGGAGTTTGTTGCTCTTAAGTGGGCTGTTACAGAAACATTTAGAGAGTATCTGTTGGGTAATAAATGCACTGTCTTCACAGATAACAACCCACTAAGTCACCTGGCGACAGCAAAGCTTGGAGCAACAGAGCAGAGGTGGGTTTCTGAACTTGCAGCTTTTGATTTGACTTTGAAATACCGTCCAGGATTTCAAAATGCTAATGCAGATGCATTGTCACGTCAATATGTCACACACAGAGGAGAGGCTGGCTCTGCTTTAGATGAAGGGTTTTCTGTAGTACAGGAGGAGATCAGTGTGTTACCTGGTTTGTCAAGCACTGACCTCCGTACATTGCAGAGCAAAGACCCTACCATCAGTTCTTTCATGCAATTTTGGACAAGGGGTAGGAGGCCTGATGCTAGGGAGAGGAGTGGACTTGATAAGGCCACTCTGAAATTGGTTCGACAGTGGAATCGGCTTAGGGAGAGGGAATCGGTTCTTTGTCGCTGCACTTAATCCTCTGATGTGCAGGGTGAGGTTGAACAGTTTGTGTTACCTCAGTGTTTGCAAGAAAGTGTAATCCGGTCACTTCATGATGATCACGGCCATCAGGGAGTGGAGCGGACTTTGCAGCTAATTCGCTCACGGTATTATTGGCCCAATATGTACTCGGATGTAGAAAAATGGTGCAAGAACTGTGAAAGGTGTGTTGTGTCAAAAGCGTTGTTACCAAAAGTTAAAACCTATATGGGCACAATTAAAGCATCTAGACCTAATGAGATTTTGGCGATAGACTTTACAGTTTTAGAACCTGCTACAGATGGTAGAGAAAATGTCCTTGTGATGACTGATGTCTTTTCAAAGTTTACTCAGGCGGTCCCCACAAAAGATCAGCGTGCTAGCACTGTTGCGGAGGCACTGGTGAAGCACTGGTTTCAACTTTTTGGACCCCCAAGCCGGATTCATTCTGATCAAGGACGAAATTTTGAGAGTAATTTGGTCCAACAGCTCTGTAAAGTGTACGGAATCGAGAAAAGTCGCACTACCCCTTATCATCCTGAGGGGAACGGGCAGTGTGAACGTTTTAATCGCACCTTACATGGCTTGCTTCGAACTCTTCCACCTGAACAGAAACGCAAGTGGCCCCGGCATATTTCCCAAGTCACCTTTGCATATAACACCACGGTCCATCAATCTACTGGCATGACTCCTTACTTTTTGATGTTTGGTCGAAAACCACAGTTGCCTGTGGATTTTTTTTGTGGGATTGACTGCAAATGAAGGGGGTCTTGACCTGCCTCTGGAGGAGTGGGTCGAGGAGCACCAAAAATCACTAAATTCTGCCTATGAAATGGTACACCAAAAAGTGGAGAGCAAAACAGCACGGAGGAATCAGGATGTGGATTTTGCCCCAGATTTTCAGGAAGGAGATCTGGTGTATACCAGAAATCATTCAGTAAGGGGTCGTAACAAAATTCAGGATTTTTATGACTCTACTCCATATAGAGTAGTTCACCCACCTTCTGATCGAGGGGTAGTCTACTCTATAGCGCCTCTGGGTCAGGAAGGACCCCTTCGTCAAGTCCACAGGGTCGAGCTTAGAAGTGTCCCGGAAGATAGTGGGATGGACCAGGGGCAAGCTAACGGGTTGAAAGAGGCGCAGATGAATGTTAGGGGGGAAGATGATATGGTTGATTTGTTTGAACCTGAGGTGCGACCAGATGCTGAGGATGGGGAGGCTGGTATTTCAGAGGGTGAGACGTTATGTGTTCAGCCTCTTTCTGGCCAGGAATCAGCAGAGGGGATTGACACTGCCATTGCTCCTGAGCCTAGGAGGTCAGCTCGGAAAACGGCAGGACAGCATTCCAACCCATATAGGTTGCCCTGTTCTGCACTGAAGAAATTAGTTTTGTTTTGGGTAACAGTTTTAAGTGTACATCGTCGGGTCGCCGATGCATAATGATGGGGGGGAATGTAACAGGTGGCACCAGTAGGTGTCACTCTCCTTAGCCTGAGCTTCTATAAAAGGGGAAGCAGGAAGGGTAGTAGCCAGAAGTTAACTTCCTGTGTCTGGGACCAGGGGTGTGGTGGATCCATGCTGTTGGCTGGCTGGCTGGGGTATGTTGGGAGGTGAATTGTGTTTTGAGTTTATCCTCTGCAATAAGTTGGTGGGGATTTGGTGTTTTTTATACAGGTCTGCATTATTGGTGTTCTGGCAGTAATTTTACCAGGGCGTGTGATTGTTCAACGCCACAGGTAGGCTTTTAGCTTTTACATTTACTGTTTTAAGTGATGCAGGTAAGCAGTGTTTTAATATTGTTGTACTTTTTTGAGTGTTTTAAAGAGCATTTAGTAATTTGTATTTTTGTTTTGACAGGGTTGTAACTGCTTCCTGCTGTCCTTTAAAGTTTGATTTTTTTTTCCCCCTTTTGGTTATTTTTGTTAGTCCGCTCAGGTTGAATTGTTTGAGTACCTGTGAGGGTGGACTAACAACTTTCCATTTATTTTGTTAGTTTCTTTTCACTTCCTGTATGTTACTATTTCTATTAAAGTTTAGATAGTTGTATTTTATTTATATACAATAAAGATTGGAAAATTAACTCTGCTTCAGTTTTCTTTTCCTCTTGAACACAGCAACCATAAGTCTGTGTTGTGTAGAATTAAAGTTGTATTAAAAGGAAAAAACCCAATCGGACCTGTAACATGTTGCTCTTGCTTTAGGGAAACATTTCTGCATTTGGAAGCGTCACACTTTTAGTATAACCCACAACTAGAAAATATTAAGCGGTACTTACATGTAAAAAAATAAATAAATAAATAAACAGCTTAATCAACAAGATTTATTAGCCTTAATAGCCTTATCACATATTGTAGTCCCACGGTTATATTTATTTGACTCTAAACAATAATAACAATGCTGAACGGACTCTTGTGTGTGCTGCTGGTCTAAGTCAATGTCTAGATATGACCAGCAGATGGCGCACTAATCCACCTGATCTCAGTGACAGAGAAAGATGAGTTACTCATCTATTGCCAACCCAATGATTTATTGACAATAACACAAAAAAGGTTTAGATGTTCTTTAGTATGCAAATAATTGTAATACACGTATGTTTAAATAGTTAATCATATAATTATAGATTTAGATTTATATTGTTCCAATCCAGAAGAGCCTCGACTCTCTTAAATTATTTAATCTGGGTGAAATTAACATTCTGCTGTAATGGATTCTGAATAAAATATCAAGTTATCTAATTTATTATTCTAACCTATGTCGTGATGATAGCTATGTCAGAGAAAGCTGCAGCGTTTGAGAAAAGGCAATGTTGGAAATAATCCTAAATCCTCAAATATAACGCTTTGCTCCGGTTGGCTCATTTGGACGTCAGTCTTATTTGGGACCCGCCCACCCGCCCAAGTGGCAGTGGTGAAGGGTGAGAGATAATCCTTTGCAAAAAAACACAGACGCGCACCATCGCTGGATCTGGATGCGGGCATCCTTTGGATTTTGCGCGTAACAACACGGACCTTCATCGCCTGCCTGACTTAACCGGGAGCGCAATGGTGGCTGAATGCGCGGCTGCTGGTGGTTTAGGGGACCGAGGAGCGTGCTCGGTTTGACATTCACTTACACGCTGGTGTGGAGTTTTTTTTTTATTTTTATTGTTCTGGTCCCGTAGACGCAGAAGCGCAGCAGTGATTTTGTGTTGAAGATGTTGAGCCGATTCATGAGTGGCAGCCTCAGGAATCTGGAGCGGGAATACAGCTGCAAAGTCAGGCTGCTGGACGACACGGAATATACGTGCACCATTCAGGTTAGTCACCTGTCGACAGCTCCGCGTAGAACCTAGAGGTGCTGCAATTGTGTTTGGGATGTGCGCCTGAATGCCACAATGCTGCTATCAACCTCCCCACCAAATCATCCAATAGTATCTACGCATTGAAGAAGAACGCATAACCTCAACTGCCTTTCTGCCCATTATTCCATGCAAAATAGTTAAAACTTGGATTAAATGCAGCCTATATAGGCATGATTTTATCAGAGTTGATGCAATATTTTCTATGATATCAGATTTGGATTTTTTTCTGCACTATAACGCTCTGATATTACAGGTGCTGGTCATAAAATTAGAATATCATGAAAAAGTAGATTGATTTCAGTAATTCCATTTAAAAAGTGAAACTTGTATATTATATTCATACATTACATACAAACTCATATATTTCAGATGTTTATTTTGTTTAATTTTGATGATTACAAATGACAACAAATGAAAATCTCAAATTCATCATATCAGAAAATTAGAATATTGTGAAAAGGTTCAAAATTGATGGCCCCTGGTGCCACACTCTAATCAGCTAATTAACTCAAACCACCTGCAAAAGCCTTTAAATGGTCTTTCAGTCTAGTTCTATAGGCTACACAATCATGGGGAAGACTGCTGACTTGACAGTTGTCCAAAAGACGACCATCGACACCTTGCACAAGGAGGGCAAGACACAAAAGGTCATCGCTAAAGAGGCTGGCTGTTCACAGAGCTCAGTGTCCAAGCACATTAATAGAGAGGCGAAGGGAAGGAAAAGATGTGGTCGAAAAAAGTGTACAAGCAAGAGAGATAACCGCACCCTGGAGAGGATTGTGAAACAAAACCCATTCAAAAATGTGGGGGAGATTCACAAAGAGTGGACTGCAGCTGGAGTGAGTGCTTCAAGAACCACCACACACAGACGTATGAAAGACATGGGTTTCTGCTGTCGCATTCCTTGTGTCAAGCCACTCTTGAACCACAGACAGCGTCAGAAGCGTCTTGCCTGGGCTAAAGAGAAACAGGACTGGACTGCTGGTGAGTGGTCCAAAGTCATGTTCTCTGATGAAAGTAAATTTTGCATTTCCTTTGGAAATCAAGGTCCCAGAGTCTGGAGGAAAAGAAGAGAGGCACTTCATCCACGTTGCTTGAAGTCCAGTGTAAAGTTTCCACAGTCAGTGATGGTTTGGGGTGCCATGTCATCTGCTGGTGTTGGTCCATTGTGTTTTCTGAGGTCCAGGGTCAACGCAGCCACATACCAGGAAGTTTTAGAGCACTTCATGCTTCCTGCAGCTGACCAACTTTTTGGAGATGCAGATTTCATTTTCCAACAGGACTTGGCACCTGCACACAGTGCCAAAGCTACCAGTACCTGGTTGAAGGACCATGGTATCCCTGTTCTTAATTGGCCAGCAAACTCTCCTGACCTTAACCCCATAGAAAATCTATGGGGTATTGTGAAGAAGAAGATGCAATACACCAGACCCAACAATTCAGAAGAGCTAAAAGCCACTATTAGAGCAACCTGGGCTATCATAACACCTGAGCAGTGCCACAGACTGATCGACTCCATGCCACGCCGCATTGCTGCAGTAATACAGGCCAAAGGAGGCCCAACTAAATACTGAGTGCTGTACATGCTCATACTTTTCATGTTCATACTTTTCAGTTGGCCAACATTTCTATAAATCCTTTGTTTTTATTGGTCTTCAGTAATATTCTAATTTTCTGATATGATGAATTTGAGATTTTCATTTGTAATCATCAAAATTAAACAAAATAAACATCTGAAATATATGAGTTTGTATGTAATGTATGAATATAATATACAAGTTTCACTTTTTAAATGGAATTACTGAAATCAATCTACTTTTTCATGATATTCTAATTTTATGACCAGCACCTGTAGTTTTAGGATCACTGTCCTCTGGCCCACTATTAAGTTTTTAGCAGACTTATTTCTTTATCTCCATCAATCATCCCATCAATCCTGAATTTCTCTGTAATTGCTCAAGAAAAGCATGACCACAGCATGATGCTGCCACTTCCATGTAGAAACTAGATTTTTCTGGTACCAGAAAGTTCAGTTTTAATATTTGGTGATAATTTTTACAGTGTTCTCTCATGAATTTAGATTAAGACCCCTTAAAACCTGTTTGATTCACTTACTTACAACTAATAATGATTTTTGCCCATGTATATCTATTTCTTTGCTACAGATTTGATGGCGTAGCTTAATCGCCATGACCGTTGTTGGGATACCATTCACTTTTTTTTAAAACATAAAATACAGAGAAGCAATTCTACAAAATACCTCTTAAGTTGCATATTATTACATAATCATCCGATCAATGTGATTTGGTGCAAATTAAAATATTTTTTGAGATCTAGGTGTTTATTATTATGATTTTTTTTATAAGACCAAGTAAAAAAAAGAATTTTGATAGAGCGGATACACTGCTTTGAAACCTTAAACAAGCTTGCGCTCTAACAAAAGGCTTCTTTGTCTCTGACAGCTTTGCTTTGATAATTATGCAGGTTTATATTCCTGCTGATAAGACAAAAAAAAGGTGAGAGGGCCTGTCACTTCAATTTCCCAGGAAAGCAAATCCTCCTTAGCTGTAAAAAAAGAGAAGTCCTTAGAGACACTACACAACACAAAAAAAGATCCTTGGTTTATATGAAACTTTGTCATAAAAAGGAGTCTTGCCACTGCAGCATTTGGTTTCAACAGGTTATATGGTAAAAGTCCCCTTTTTTCCCTTTAAGCAAGAGTGAAATGAACACCATATTCCCTCTAGTGATTGTAAGTGAGCACCCAGGTTGTAAACAGACCTGTATTTGTGCTTAGAGAGCTGAGCAAGTGATGGAGCTGGGCCAGATGGACTGTGAAACCAGCAGGTGTGCTGTTTGCAGCAGAGTCGGGTGGCTGACGTCACCGGAGTCGATGGATGGGGAGCGGGGTTGAAACTGGAGAATGCTCCAGCTCTGCTGTGACTGTCTGGCATCTTGATTTTCTTTCCGCCAAAACCCTGTCCTGTAAGGGAGCAAGATAATCCACCTGACCTGCCGCATTATATCACTAATGTGTGTCACATATTTAGTCTCTTCCCTCTAGGTTTTATAGCCTGCCAGGGGAGGTGGTAAAAGAAAAATATAACACTGTATATCAGGACACTGAGAAGGGAATGCAAAGTAAGAGGCGGGTCTTATTTTCTCACAGACACACTTTATTCTCTCTCTATGTGTGCGCTCGTCTCCTTCTGTCCTACTTTTGTATTTGTCCTTTTCTGTTTTCAGTGTGGAATGAACTTATATTCAATAGACATGATTCCATCAAACTTTGACAATTCATCTGGATTATTTTAAAAACTCTACTCTCAGATTATCACCTGGCTTAGCTAGTCACCTTATCAATATCTTGCATTGAAGTTTTTTATTTGTGTAACTTCCAGATTTGTCTCTCTGTCTATGTTGCAGTCAACCTCAGGATAATTTGTAAATTTAGACTAAGCAGGGCACAGAAGGCTTTTACCACTTGGACAGTAAAGTCGTCCATCTTTTTAGAGCACTCTCTGCTGTGATGCATGAACCGAAGTTTTACCCTAATAAATTATGGAGATTTCCTGCTAAGGGCAGGAGAAGTGAGCACTTATAATTGCTTAGCCCAGTAGATGTAGATCTCATCCAAGCTGCATGTTGGATAGAGAGCCACAGCCCTCCTTTGCTTTGGGACTTCACTGCTCTACTTCAGATTTAGTGTTTCATGTTATGGAAAGACTCTGGTGATACATATTGCAACACTAGAGAATATCATACAATAAAATGCATGTTTTTAAGAAAAACACAGTTTATTTGACAAGAAATACCAATGTTTTACAATCTCCCAATGATGGAAACATATTCGCCCTGCGCAGACTGCGACCTGTCCAGGGTGTACCCCTTCTCTTGCCCGTAGACTGCTGGAGATAGGCACCGGCCCTGCCGTGACCCTGACAAGGACTAAGTGAGAGAAAATGGATGGATGGATGGAAGCATATCCCATTTGATAATCCAAAATCCCCCCCCTTCTGTGACAATAAAGATATTTCTGTTGTGATTAGCTGATAACCTACATCAGGTAAACCTAATTTAAAAGCAAAACTTAAGCCTGTTTGCTGTTGCCATGTCCCAGATGACTAAGTTTTTCACCAGCACTTCTTTATTTAGGGTTCTGCATATGTTTTTGTTTAGTCTTAGGCTGCATCCAAATCATCCAATTGTAGCCTCTTGCTCCTGGAACTTTTAAGGGAAGGAACAGTTAGAACTGTCAGCCCCAGTCTCCTCCTGTACAGCCTTCATTCTATACTGCATTCTATACTATTTCATGGTAATTACCATAGTAATTAAGATCATTCTACACATTCATGCCTGCCGCTTACCTTGATTTTTCTCACCTGTGTCTCCATGTCTTGTCCTCACTTTTCTCATATAAGCTCACTGGTTGTAATTTTTCAGTGGTTCCTTCTGTTTACTTTATGTTCATTTATGTGCATTGCTTTCTATTGCTTCTGTCCCTGTATTATCTCGCTCACCTCTTTGTCAAGGCCATTTTTTTTACTTAAGACTTTTTTTATAAAAGCCTTCTGCCTCTTTTTTTGTCCTGCTCTGCAATTGAATCCTATTTAACTAACCTATGCAAACAGATTGGGGCTGGGCATTATGGCCAGGATGCATTTTTTTATCTATATAAATAATAGAAATTAAAGCCTCTGAAAGACTGCCAAGAATGACCATGACAGATGTCTGTACAAACTACTGACAATTATTTTGCCATGTTTATAAATCATGGCAAAACATTTTAGAAATATTCGCTTACAGAAACGCATAAAACTATATAAAGGTCAGTGACAACCTTATCATAGACAGTATTATATATATATATATATATATATATATATATCCGTCGTGGTGAAGAGAGAGCTGAGTCAAAAAGCGAAGCTCTCGATTTACCGGTCGATCTACGTTCC